AATCTCATGGTGAAATGCTTGACGTTCCACTTCTGCCAAGGGTTGATTTAACATCCATGCAATGTCCACTGAATGCCTAAAGTGAAGCAGGACTGTCTTGTCTCAGCATTTGAGAAAGGAATTGAGGGCAGTAAGGAATTTTTTGAATGGAAATCACTTGCAGTCTCTGAGAAACATAAAATAACATTAAATTAATAATTGTCACTCTATGGTCAGTTTTAAAGAGGCTTAGATCAGTTCATGAAGGTAAAAAAATAAATCAACAACAGATACGTTTTACCCTCAAAGAACATTTAACTGTAGTGAACTGACTATCTCTCTGTTTGCTAAGCTGCTTATGAAGCACAGTTCAAGCGGGCACTCCATGTGCTCCATTTCCAGAAGTATGTAGTGGAATTTTAAATACATTTAAATATCTATCACCTAGGCTGCTCTAATTAATTTTAGTTGGTTTCATAGTCTACAGTAAACATTTGGTAAGTCACATCTTTTTCATTTGCTTCATCTCATAATTCCCAAGAGTTTTTTTGACATATGTTCCTTGGATATTGTTGACATCTGAGTTGCAAGATCCTCAGAGAAGGTTGCTTATGTAAAGGACAGTGCATTGCACTGGGACATCTCAAAGAGGGGTCTGTATCATTATCCTCACTTCACCATTGGGAAAAATGAGGAGGTCTGTAGCTCTAGCTTCTTCTCAGGCAAGTGAACTAGACTCTAATAACTGGGCAGTGTTGTCCCTTGTCTTTTGCATGGTGATGGCTCTCTACAGCCTGTTCTTGTGCATGACTATAGTATTCCTGCTGAGCTATTCCCTCACAACCTCAGTGAATAAGAGAATTTAAGTAGACTGCCTCGGAAATTTCCACTAAAATGTTATCATTTTTCTCCCCCTGAATATATTTCAGAGATGTGTTGAGCTGACATTTTATTTTTCCTCTCTTTGTCATAGCCTATTAAGCTAGTGTGGCTCAACTCCACATTAAAAATGGCTGCAGTCCCACAGAGAATGAAGGATCATTTTTTTTAGGTAAAAGCGACACCATTAGGACCTTCCCAATGCTATACAGCAACATGATGTGGGAAAATCTCCAAATGCCTTGTATCTCATCCCCATCTAGTACAGTGAAACAAAATTCTTTATTTAATCACTGAAAAAAGAAGGGCTTTCAATCTGTAACCTGATTTTCTGCTATCATTTGGCAATAATTGTGTTGGAATTTCTTCAAATATTACTTAGAAAGAAATAATAGCTGTGGTTTTTTTCCTCAAGTCTTCCAGATAAGTTTCAGTACCAAGGTATTTTTTCAATCTCTATTAATCTATTTATCTGTTCTGCATTCACCTTAAAATGTTCACATTTGGTCTGAGATTTGCCATGCTCAGTCTTCATAAAAAATAGGATTCTTTGTGGCTGAGGGGTGAGCATCTGTTTAGCTGTTGATAAGATAGGGAAACATGAAAAGGTGTCTCATTTTCAACAGTTTAAAAGCCAGCTGCTTATCAGGCTATAAAATTGGAATAGTAAATAGTCCGATCTCAATCATACATGGGCTTCAGGATGATAACCAAATATGAAGTGATTGTACACATACTTTGGCTATTTTCAGCACTTACAAAGTAAAAACTGAAACAGAATATGAAGTTGTAATACCTTAATTCAATTTCAGTACGTATTCTCCCTTCACATGCAGACTGGCATTTGCTTGGGTTTGATGACTTCTTTGACCAGTAGCTGACAAATTGGAAAGATCATGTTCTATTCTGTGTAAATTTTAAAATATTTTTAAATTAAAAATGAAATAGAAATTAACTAAATTTTCAGTCAGGCAGCTGTTGCTTGCCATGATCTAAACATGTTAAACACTTAAATGTTCATCACATAAGTTTTAAAGAAGTCCTTTTCTGACTCAAAACACCCTCAGCTGCTGCAGCTTCAACTTGCCAAATATACTGTTATATCTGACCCTCTAGTATAAACACAGGGTTTGGGATGAAAACAAAACTTAGATGAAAATATTGCTTCCATCCCACAGCACTAGCAGAATTCTGCTTCTGTCTAAATACTGAAGCCTCAAGAAAGCATGGGTGTGAGAGCCGAGGAATCAGGCCTGTGAGAAACTAAGACAAACAGCCTGGGAAAGCAAAAGTTGAGGCTGATTGAAAATATGCCTCAAACACTCGCAAGACAAAACCATGAGTCACAGGGTGCTTTCTGTGGAGGCCGAAGCTGATAAGGCTGCCCGATGTATCTGGGGGAGAGAGCCCTGTGGAGACAGGATGGCTCTGCCCTGGGGCACCTGGGCAGATTTCAAGGGCCATGTGTCCGGTGAATGAACTTTGCTTCATTATCCACGAAATGCATATTAAAGTTGACACCCCTCAATATGCTAACGAGGGCTGTCATGATCATGCTAGTGACATCATCCCATGAAA